AGTATTTTCATTCTGTGCTCATCACGTTGCTTATACGCGAGACGTAAGGAATAAAATACGTAGTCAGACACAGAGTGTCTACGATGTTGGATGTTATTTGAGGGTCTCTCTATTACATACGTCACCAAGTCTGCCTCGTCGGCGGTGCAGTGCTTGAGGTGCTTGACTGCTGAGGTAAAGGTTGCGGGTTCGATCCCGAACGAGGCGATCAAATAATCGATGGAGGCGAAATGCTGGATTTTCGCGTACTCTGCAATGTCAGTGCACGTGAGGCTCATTAGATTGTCAAAATTTCCTCTGTATCGGCCACTCTTTATGCAAATGCTACTGGAACACCGTCCTCGCCTTTCGTCGGCTCAAAAAGCAGTCAAAGCCGTCTTGTGCTTTTTTAGGACTACAGGCCTATGTGAACACCTTTAACTTTTGTGTAGTGCCGCCGCTGCATGCGCGTCAGCCCATTGACTGACAATCCTTTTTTTTTCTCTTTCTCTTCTCTTTCCTCTCTCTCTCCCTCTCTCATCTTTATGCCCCCTTCTCATTCCTCCAGCATAGGGTAGCAAACTAGGCATGTGCCTGCTTAACTTCCCTGCCTTCTTTCTTGTTGTTCTTGTCCTCCTCCTCTTCCTGAACACTCCGCTAAGGCGTGCCTCATATTCATATTGAGAGTCTGGAGCGTAAAACCCCAGGTTATATGGAAAGACGTCAGTATCTGGGGTTTTGACTTTTCTGTTTCTTGCTAACCACAAACAAGTATGGCCGGACTTTCCTCTTCGAGATCGTACATCAGACGTTTCTCAGAACTCAGCGCCGGACTTCGAAACAGGACGAGGTCTGCGATTTCCCGCTAAGTTTATTTGCATTCGAACTGAAGCTGTTCACAAGAATTCTTTAATTGAATTGCCTAATCCTTCTGTGACAAGCATGGAACGGTGGTCCTCGCTTACTGAGGCGTCTAATTAGTCGTCCAAGGACGCTTGTTCGCTAGTAACAGGAATCGATTCGCCCCAGCGCTTTCACTCACACGTGCACTGCAAACACTTGGCGAAAGTTCACTGTGAATAATAATGATTATGATAACAGTAAGGGTCCGGCTGATTTGCAATCAGCACACTCCAACACGAATGATTTTCTTTTTCTTTTTTTTCGTCGCCGCGCTAAACTTTTTGTTCTGACTTCCCGGTCTTTTTTTATTTCTATCTTCCTTAATAATTTATTAACTTGTTTAATTAACTCTTGCTTTCTTGCTTGCTTTGTTTATTTAACTATTTATTTATTTATTTATTTATTCCTTTCTTTTTGCTTTCTATTATATATTCATAATTGATTGATTGATTTGTAGGGTTTAACGTCCCAAAACCACCATTTGATTATGAGAGACGCCGTAGTGGAGGCCTCCGGAAATTTCGACCACCTGGGGTTCTTTAACGTGCACCCAAATCTGAGTACACGGGCCTACAACATTTCCGCCTCCATCGGAAATGCAGCCGCCGCAGCCGGGAATCGAACCCGCGACCTGCGGGTCAGCAGCCGAGTACCTTAGCCACTAGACCACCACGGCGGGGCTTATATTCATAATTCCATCGATGTTTATGCAGCCAGACTTTTTTTCTGAATGAGGCCTAACTATGTTACGTGTACAGTCACGGGATCATGTTTGAACTCGTATTAAATGTCTTCATCATTGACGGTTACTACTGCTTTTGTTTATATAGAAACTTCTTTATTGTGCGTGTCATTCATTAACCACAAAACGCGACAAAACCCATAATCACAGTCAAGCAATATACAAAATAAATTACGGTTTTACGAGGATTGAACGAATGAAACAAACATTTATTGTCCCGAAACAGTGTTATCAGCTCGTCAGCTCAAAGTCACCCAATGTGGAAGGATCTCTCATTCCAGGAATCCTCTGGTTACTACCGCCTCCTGCGCCCTGGCAACGACTTCTCGTTGGTCATATAGGTCCCGTGCGGCGATCCTTAATTCCCACTTCTCGGCTAGGGGGTTGATACGTGTGGTCGTTGCGGGCTTGGTATTGCAATCTGCGTGGCGCCATGGGCACTCGAGTATTAAGTGTGCCAGTGTATTTGGCAACGTCGCATTTTGGGCAATTGTAGGCGTATAGCGTTGGGTGGGTTCTATGCAGTAGGATGTCATGCGTATACTTGTTACTTCGCAGTCTTCGAAATGCTGTGGCTTCTTCTATAGTCAGCTTGGAGTGAGGTGGCGGGTACAACCTGCGAGTTAGGCGACAGTTCTCTAGTGTGGTGTTATATGTGTGTGCTATGGTTTCCACTTCTGCTGCAGTGCTGGCTAACGGCGAATCAAGTGAGGTGCCGAGGGAGGGCCGGTCGGCGTGACCGCGGTCCGTGGTGTAAGCCGCTTGGTTTCCCTCGAGCTCCTCGTGTCCTCGCACTCATGACACGCATGTGTAAAAATCGAGTTTTTGCTCTTTTTCAGCAGATTGAGAGCTTTGGTGGATATTCGACATCGCGTGTAATTGCGGACAGTGGATTCTCAGTCTGTGAAGACTGCGATCACGTCCTTACCAGTAGTACTGGCAAGGGCGATCGCTGCTCCCTCTGTAGCCTCGGAGCTCAAAAACCCGGGCGGTGGTGGATTACAGCTCTTTTCCTTCTGTGTTGACCACACTTATAGCGTAGGCATTTCTGCATTTCCTTCTGCGTAGACCACACCTATAGCGTAGGCATGACCAGCCGTTGCAAACGGCTGGATCATGCTGGTGTCTTCTACGAATGGTGCGGAGTCGCCGTGGCAACGTGACGTGAATTGCCAGAACGTTTTATTACTGAAACGCCACATTGGCTTAGTACTAGTGGCTAGGGCTAGAGATGGACTTAAACTTGGCTACATTCAGTTTTGGTTGGACTATGTACAAGCTGTCATTGGAGTATTTTGTGTTCTCGCTTTTTTTTCATTTTTTTGGTGTAATAAAGGGTGCTCGTTTTTCACGGCTGTCTCCACTCCCTCAATGCACTCTTTTGCAAGCGCTTCAGGGATAATTGTGACACCGATCCCAGTTGAAAAACTAGTAAGTTATGTGTACATTGTCAACATACGTACTTCCATTTCTTGAACATTGGTGTTCCGAAGAAAACAGTCGGTTTCATAGCTTTGTCAGAAATTGTATCATCTTGAAGCACACGGGTGTTCACGATGCTATGTTCATCTTCTTTGGCCCATAAATTCCGGTAGTGGAACATCCGGTAGTTTGTGGAGATGTTGCGCAGGTTACTTTTGATAGGACACTTGTTACTTTGTTCTTTGCTTGTTTGTTGGTTTTTTTTTTCACTCTGGCACAATGACTTTTGAACGGGAAGTCATTAACGAATACTTTTTATTGGCTTTGTCGCACGACATATCAAAAAAGAGCGACTAGCCAAGCTCGAGATTCTGGGCTTGACCATTTCAGCCTACAGTTTTTTTTTTTTTTTTTTTTCAACCGGCAGCAATTGTTTTTTGTTGGTGAATTGGAGTTACTACATCCTCAAGAGCACAGAATCTGATAATCCCATCAGTATGTAGGAAAAGTGGCTCTATTTTGTTTATATAGGAAACTATGGCTTAGTGGTTATGAAGTGAGATATGGTTAGTTTAACTACATCTATTTATTTTTACCCTGTTAGTGCAAGTTATCGCTGTGAAATGAACATACAGCAACCACGTTTTATTTACAGCGTCTTAACTGTCCAATCGCAAGTCTTTTCGCTCGCGATACACAGCTTCTCAATGCTTTTGAATGGCCACCGTGTAATTATACAACACTTTGGAAGATCCTGCACCATAAAGGATTGCCGAATCCTGCCTTGCAACGCCAGCAAAAATTCCGCCTGTTGATGCTGATGCTGATGACCTCAGATGGATGGTGCTCACCCACCGAGAGGGAGGAGCCAAGAACCGGGCGGCAGGATACTTAAATGAAACTAAAATGAAAGTAATGCCAATCTGAAAAATTAGTTTAGAGATTATACTACAAATAAACAAAAATGTTTGCTGCGCAAGCGGTCAAACCATCTTTTGTTTTTGACAGACATCGCTACGAATTATAAACTAAAGATCTGAAAAAGTTAGGTTTCACTAGCACTGTAATCTTTCAGTTGCATTGATGTAATCAAACAGAGTGGAGCATATATCCCTGTGTCAGTAACCAAATGAAGTGCCGCCAAGTGATAAAAGTACTGGTAGATTTACTTGTATTCCTTGCTTTTGTAATGGGGCTACTAAATATCATTTCTCTGATAAGAGTAACGACGACAGAAAAAAAAATGTTCGACTGTTTCGATTTCGTTGCAAAAAATGCAAAGCGGTGACGCCTTGAGTCGAGCTTTGTTAAGGTAATAATTGTTTGCAACGGCAAGCTGATTGAACTGCACTTCATCGTCGTCACGCTCCGTTATTATATATTATAAAACTAATTAAAATTAATTACGTCACTATCTCCTATTACACACCCCTAACATATTATCCTAGTTGATTTGGGCAGGTTTCTGAATTATAATAACAAGAAATCGGAAGCTTTTACTAGAGCTACATATCTGGATCAGCCTGAATACATTCAGAGCTCTTACAGCCATTCAGTTCTGATGTCAAGTCATTAAGATTGTCCACGGCTTCGGGTGATACGTTAGTGTTAGGAAGACCCACTTTGTAATTAGCAAGTTAACCATCTTAGAAATAACATAAAAATTATAATAGCTACTTATATAATAGTTAAGAAGTAAGGTGTCATTTATTATTTGGTTTCAGCGAGAGTCCTCGTTATCGCATTCCACCATTTTGTTTTTCACTTTGCAGAGCTCCAAAGAAGATGATGACGAAAAAATTATTACCTGTGCTTGCGCAGTTGTATTGAGAATAATTCGGTCACCTTTTTTTCAATTTCTGCCTTAATTCTTTTACATTTGGCAGCGACGTTTCTTGCTATGTGGGACGTCAGGGCCGAAAGCGTTAATGAATTACTCCCCGTCAAGTATTGCTTCGCATAGCAGAAAACATGTATTCAATTTGAGTGCTGCCGGAAAAGTATCGTTAAAAACGTTCGTGGTTGGCGCCATAATATGTCACCTCAGCTGCGTAGTGCAACACGCCAAGTTTCTAAATGAGGTAGCATATCAGTTTGGCTGATACTCCTAGCTACCACAGATGGCTTGAGATTATTCTACATTATTACTACACGAATCAAGCCACATGTGTGTACTACCACTATCGTGTGAAGTCACCCACACGTAGCATCACTCTCATGTATTATCACACTCATATAGTGTCAACCACTCTTGTAAAGCTTCACTTTCGTCTAGCTTCGCTTCAAGGTCGACTGCGGACTTTCTTCAGTGACACTGTCGTCGTTGCCTTTGGGAGACAATGCCTTCCTGGGTTTAGACAATGCGACACCGGCCCCTCCGACAGACACCTTCGTGGATCAAGGACTGAAAGAAATTGAAAAAAAACAATAAGACAAGATGTAAGATCGATGTCGTGTTACCGAGTTGTAGTTACCTACAAGTAAGCAGAAAGAGAGCATACTGTGCAGTGCTCAGACTGCACTCTTTTTTATGAAGTAATAAAGAACGAATTGATGCTTCACTGACATGGACACAAGCAAGCATGCATGCATGTTCACGATACCTTTGATGCAGTCTGTCATTCGCTCAGTGATAAAACCAAGTCGGGAGTGTAGGCAGACCAATTTCCACATGGCCTTCTTGTGTATGTAGGTGGCGTGATCATCATGTTCCCATCACCGGCCTATGTGGCTTTGTATACGTATTTCCTCCAACTGCCCTGACTGCGGCTGATCAGCTACATTTCAACACCTTATGTGGCGGTGCCTCCACTCAAGCGACAAATGCAGAGGACACCAAATCACTGAGGCCGGCTTATACCGATGTATGTCTAGCACTGCCTCAGTCGACCCACTCAGGGCCATTGTGGACGTTAAACCCCTATTATTATTATTATTATTATTATTATTATTATTATTATTATATTATTATTATTATTATTATTATTATTATTATTATTATTATTATTATTATTATTATTATTATTATTATTATTATTATTATTATTATTATTATTATTATTATGAAGCATACAGTTTCACACAATACCTAGAGAGGAATCTGGCGCCGCGATCGTGTACCCCCCTGGTTATTACGGGAAGTACAGGCTTCGGATTCAGAAATCAGAAATGGTCTTATTTTGTCATCGAATCAATTACGAAAAATTTGTGTATACAGAAGGAGGTCCCATAGTCCGAGACCGAATCGGGACCTCCTACAGTAGTGAATATAAAAAAAATTAATTGATGCAGCAAACAGTGGTACTGTAATGAAATACATCGCAGGTAAAAACGAAAAAGGAGTTCTACTCAAGAAAAACATTAGCAGAAAGCAGCAACAAAAACTGAAATGAGACAACATAAAAAATAGAAATTGGCTAGCGTTAGCCAGTGAACTGTCTATAGGTCTTTTTCTACAGTTTCAGTTTCGTTCTTCGTACAGCGCTGGTATAGTGAGTGAGCGAGTGAGAAAGACTTTTTGGTAATCCGGCGGACGACAATCCTAGCCCCACGAGGGGAGGGTCATCGTAATGCGGCCAAGCGCGGCTAGTGTGGTGTGGTGAAAATGGCCAAAACAGCGCCTTTATTGTTCAAAGAGGCTGAATACCACTACATCTCCTGGTTTGCTGTGACGTTGGAGCTTTACTAGTCCGATTTGACAGTTTAAACGAAGCGTCGTCCACTCACCCTTGCGCGTATATGTGTAGCGTCTTATGCCAGTGCCACATATTGCCTCGAGTTCACGTTTTTTTCACGAGCGCATCTTGCCTAAACTTGTTCGAATCCACTGCAATATGACTGCGAAGCTAAACGGACGCACCGCCCTGCTCCTCCGTCTCGATTTCAGAATGAAACGAGATGTGCGTCTGTGTCCAAGTGATCTGTGTCCTGGTAAAGATCACTTGGACAGATGCACCTGGCATCGTAGCAGACGAAACGTTAAGTGTTTTTCACTTAATACTGTACTGTATTTTCTATAAATAGATAATGCGTACTTGCGAGCGAAAAACAATCATGTTCGTTGTCAAGTGCTGCAAACGTATTTTACTGCATCTTGATGCCAAATCTGGAACGTACGGCAGAGCGATGGTGGTTAAATTTCTCCAGGTTTCACTTCTACCTCATGATTATAGAAACGCTTTGCAATTAAAGTTTGCGTACAAAATAATGAAGCAATATTCAATTAAATATAACTTCATATCACTTCGTTTTACATAGGGCAAAAAAGCGTCGCGAGTCTTTAAACGTAATCCATCCAAAGCAGATCCGAAGCCTGTGCTTCCCATCATTCCCACGGGGGTACACACACCGCTGAACGAGCCCGCGTAGACACTACCATCAGATTACGCTCTAGGTATTGTTGTAAGAAACTCTATGTAGCGAAGGTTCGTTGCAGTGCCTCTCTCTTCCTACTCCGCAAAAATCGACGGAATCTAGCGGAAGTCGCAAACGCCCCATGCATTGGAACGGTGCCAACAATGGACGTCCAAACAGACACCGGATGAGTCGGTTGCCACTCATGCACAGAAGATTTATAAGATTAATGGAGTGGAAATCATATTCTAGGAGTGGAATCATGCCTCTGACAAGATGGCGGCTGCGGCGGCCATCTTACTAGGGGCATGATTAAGTATCACTGTTCTGCGATTAAGAACGGGGCGCTTCCCTTGCACGCCCAAGAAGCATATTGTAGAATTTTTTTCGGGTCCCATAGTACTCCAAGTGCGTATTAGTGTTACTAGTTTTCCTTAGTGAGCTTCTTATTGGAGGCAAAGTTCTTGAGAAGTTCAGTCACACATACTCGTTTTTTGTGTGTTATCTCGTCGGGAACAAATGTCTTTCAATATATAACTAACGTACAATTACCACTAACACATCAAAGCCACTTGACCTTTAAGTGGGCAATATCAGACAACAGCATGTTTCCGCCATCTTTGCAGTGACAAAAGCTGGCTTCACTTCTGCTGGAATGGCATTGCGGGAGCTTCCACTCCAGCAATTTTTTAGGGGCGAAGCTCCTTATAGCGGCACCCGTTCGTCCCTCGTAGCCGTGGTAGTAGTGTGTAACAAGTATAACATTTTGACCTCCAAGGTGGTGCCGGTGAGAGATTTCTTCTGTGCGTTGTTGAACAATAGAAGATAGTGCTCAATGTACATGTCAACGTCTTCTAAAGGGGCATGAGAGACAGGAGAATTCGGCTTTTAGTTAACGCACACGCTGCGAATTTTTATTGTTCAACAACGCACAGAAGACAAGAAAGGGTTGCTACGTTTTACTCGCTAGGCGTAACCTCCTAGGTTTTAGAAAGGTTTAGCGAGCATTGGACTGCAGTGCCATCAATACAATGAACTAGTAGTATATACCATGAACTCGAGGTGATTAAAGGTAGGAAGTAGACACGAAGCACAAGCCGTAAGAAAGTGTGCATGTGCCTCCTCTCGTTCAGTCCTTGGAATATATGATGAAAAGATGCGAGATGGTGGTACTTGGAGAGTTGAATAGGTGGACGAACGGACACACAGACAGATGCATGGACGGACGCATGGATAGCTGCACGGACGGATAGACGCATGGACGGACGCAGGAGCGGATGCATGGACGAAAGCAGGGACGGCCGCACAGATGAACGTGCGGACGCACGAACAGACGCGCGCACGGACGGGCGGATGTACGCACGGGCGGCCACACAGACGCACGCATAGATGGACGGAAGCAAGAACGAATGGATGGACGGATGCCTCGCCCCACTATCCATCATTCACTCCGTGAATGCCACTTTTTCTAATCCTCCTTGGACTCTCGTCGGAGCTCGTGTTTTGCCAGCGTAGCGTCGCTTGCCTAGCGTTCCCTCTCCTGCAAGACGAGAGACTCGCGCCTCGCGTTTCATTCTGACCCTGTCATTTTCTCCAGAAGGAGCGTGGCTACGGAATGGGTGGTAGAGGCTGGAGCATAAGGAGCAAGCTTCTAAAACTGATTTGCCCATTGGTCATGCCGTAACCTTCGATGTAAGTAAATTCTTCATTATTATCTGGAAAGTCATCGGTGCTACCCTCCCCCCGCAAAGGGGTTGAATAAAGCAGAGGAGCGCATCTTGCTTCGCCTCCAGACGAATACATTGCTATGTCCTGCCGTAGCGAAACATTTCTACCCTACGGTCACAGGACGGTGCCAGCACTGTGGGGAGGTGGCAGACACCTACCACATGGTGTGGATTTGCCAATATAGCGCAGCCATTACTCCTAACCCAAACTTTAAGGGAGAGAACTAGGAGGCAGCTCCGCTCGGCTGCTCAGACCTTCAGGTCCAGCGGGCCTTGGTCTAGAGAGCCAGGACAGCGGCTTTAACCAATGGGGTCCCGAGTAGCGACTCCGCCTAGTTTGTAGGTACCTCTTAAAAGGTCCTACACCTCTCCTCTGTAAATAATGTTTTTCGCCACCACCATCTCACGGTCGCATCAGTTGTCGTAAATGCCATGAGCCTTCCAACATTTCCACCCCGAAACATTAGGTACAGGTGCTCCAAAAGTAAAATGGAGCACGTGAGCTGAGAAAGCTACGCAAAAGCGAATGCCAGCGTGCTCCACCAGAGAAGTGGTTATTTGTTTTTGTGTGGATATGCGCCAGAAGATGGTGTCATCATTTGCGTATAAAAATGGACCACCACGTGTTTGCACGAGCACGCTGCATTCATTTTTGCGCTGCCCGACCGTGATCACGTGCTTCGTTTTACTTTTGGACACCTTTACTTTATGCTAAATACAATGTATGAACAAGCTTATTATATTGCTTGCGTTTAAGCTTGTGGTTGTTACCGGCGATCAGTACAGAGCGCACGCAGTCTCTGTTTACAATATTTCGTTATATCACAAACAGTTGGTGCCCATAACCATCTTACGTAAGATCGTGATATTTGCTTACTAGATAGACATATTAATAAAACAAATAGTACATGATTTAGAGCACAGCATATTCTACTATACGGGAGGGCTTCAAGTCGTACGTGTTGCGATGACAACATTAGTCTCATACGTTTGTGTTTAAACAAGTGGTTAATGATTTAGAGTACTTATACTATAGGAGAGCATATATAGCCGTCCCGTCGACCTCATATTTGATGAGGCCCCGTCGACAAACATTATTATTGACCATTGCCGTTGCCTAATTGGCGGTCATGCATAACTCAGCACAGAAAAGTCGGGATTTTTCAGAAAAAAATGTTTAATGACATAGAGTACTTGGTATTCTAATATAGGAAAGCGTAAATCATTCCCATACACTTCCCAAAGTGCCATTTCGAGAGATATCATGCTGCTAACACACTACTCTTCGGTGTGTTTATAAAAATTGGTTAACTGTTTAGAGTACTTGTCACTTTACTATGGGAGAGCTGAAAGCCGTCTCTCCGGTCTCACACTTGATGAGGCCGCATAGAACAAAAATAACACTCGGGCCAACCCCGGGCAGCGTATGAGAAAGAGCGTTTTCCTCGTGCCTAAAGAGAAAACGAGGAGATATTTCCTAATGCTGTGCGCTTTAAAAAAGTGGTTAATGATTTAGAGTACTAGGTACTCTACTATGGGAGAGCTGAAAGCCTTCCCTTGGGCTTCCCATTTTATGCGCTGCTTAAAATCCTCAGATGGTATTACAAGTATTAAACATTGTAGATGTTCGCCATTATTATCGACACTGTGTGAAAAACAGCCACCATTACGGCCACAGGTCATTAAGCTTTTTTCTTTCATTGTAGTTTCACAACGAGATAACTAAAGATTGTTAGTGTTACCTCGTACTTGACAGTGTAAACATTCTACCACCTTTTTACCTGAAAATCGGCATTCAACCTTCGACCGAGCGACAGGAGGCGATAACCCTGATAAATTGCGGCTAATGTAACTTGTTTATTTATTTAAGACACACGTGTTGCTTATTGGGCATTTCTCTTGCTTCCAGAGTAGAGCCCGAATCAGTTTAAACCAAGCGCCTTGTCTTCAATCATGAGTAATGCATACATCTTTCATAAATGTTCTTGTTTTGTTATATTGGGGAAGCTTGAACAATGCTTGGCTAGTGGTGTAAGCGTATTTCACGCCGATGCAGCACGTGCAATCGTATGATGGTCGTAAGCAGTCAATAAATGTGAAGCCTACAATGAAGAATACTATTCTCTTCTGACATGCTTTAAAGGCGCGCTTTTAAAGATACACGCGCCAGAGTCGCACTTTAGAGCCGCGCCTTAAATTCGTTACCGGGACAGGGGCGATGAGTCACATTTCTCACCTTGCAGGGAGTTCCATCTTCCTCCAATCCCATTCTCACGTCTCCTTCGGGCATGTGGCACAGGTAGACGCAGTACCTGCGCACCTTGTCCTGCGAAAGTGGTGCGATATAAGTTAGTCATGAAGTCCTGTACTCACCAGTTTCTTCCGAAGCGTGCTATTTCGACAAGTTTACGCTTCAACCTCCTCAAAATATTTACGAGAAGCATAGAGGGGGAAGCCAACTGCAGACTGTGTCAAGCCATGCACTTTAAGAAAGGGCACGCAACTTTTTTTATTTTTATTTGGAAGTGAGGTGGGGGGAGATCCGGATGTCATGCACCCTCAGTAATAAACACCGCATTGGAAGAATTAAAAACATTGTTAGGCCAAAAAAGTTTTTAGTACTACAGTGTGAACAACGAGAAATAAAAAATAATTCTCATTTTACTTACCACCTTTGTCCGTAAGCGATGACACGCAGGGTCTGTCGTTATCATAGCTATAGTCAGCTCGGCAAACAAACCTGCACATTTCCAACCCTTCTATTAATGAACTGAACATTAGCACCCGGATTCAGCAACCATTTTGTTCGAAAGTGTTGTTCCTTACCACCTTGCCACCTTTGGTCTTATATTACTATAGCACGATTAGTCAGCACTTTTCCGTGTCAACTAGCACTGGTAATTGCAGTAAACGAACTATAGGGCCCCTCAAAGCATTCTCATTGTTCGTGTGAACCGGACATTCGTTTACTAACCACTTCGCGAATACACGCCCATCTACTTTGAGAGATATGTGGACTAACGAATATATATTGGCAAGAAGAAAACTTTGGAAATATTTAGCCGGGGTGGCAGCATTTTATGAAGGCGGAAATGCTTGAGACCAAGATTTATGTGCACGACCAAGAACACATGATCTTCGAAATTTCCAGATCCCTCCACTACGAAGTCCGTCCCTAATAATCATACCGTGACTTTTGGTTGTTAAACACAATAATTATTATTAAAGATTTCTAGAAAGGCCTAAACTACACACAGAGTCACCTGAGAAGTAACGTACGTATTATCCTCAAAAAACGTGACAAATAAATTCGGAACAAAGAAGCAACATGCGTATTGGTTGCCACTGTGAGATGACTTGGAAAAGCAAAAGTTTCATTACTACTGAACTTTCCCGCAATCTTTCTTTTGAATCACATGCCTCGTAATGGCATAACCTTAGTAAGGTTAAGAACACATTAAAAACGGAGTGCTTTAACATAGTAATTGGGTTATCAATATTTATTAATAAATGCGCTAGAACGAAGTTTTCCTTGTGGTCTGCTTTCAATTAAGCAACTGGGGGTTCCTTAAGCTTCGCCTTTAAGAGTTGAACGCGATAGCGACATCCTAGTGCACATATTTTATTGCTACCTAGTGCACACATTTTATTGTATGATGTTATTCCATAAGTATAAATTGTGCGCTACTACAACGTAATCTATAAAGTCGAAAATGGCTTGTGTCGCATGTGGCTGCATTCTATGTAGTAGGTAGCATGCTTGAAACCATGAGTAATTATGCGCGTCAGATGTTTTAGAACTTGGCGAGCACCCAGCATACGAGGTCTTAAGAGAATGCACGCAGTAAGGTGTGTGCATCTTGTAATGCGTGGCTGGCTTTAAACCACGAAGTGGTTATGATAATCACTTGTTCTGATGCGACATGGCAATGTACGCTTACACCATTCAGTCATATTGATATTACACGTTGTATTGTGAAGCCTGTGCAAAGAACGCGTGCGTAAGTAAAGAATGAAAATTATTCGCGCTAGATTTCTACGCAGAGCAAGTTATTTTTCCTGCATTTCCAAACAGACACATGGCCATATGGTAAAACAACTGCTTTCGCACGCAAACGGCCTGGTTTCGGTATCACTCGAACCACGCCGAGACCAACGCTGGTATTTCTGCGAAGCGAGCTTTTCAATACAATCTCGTTAAAACTAACCTTCCTTAGCAAGTTATGCGCTGAAACACGCATATTACAAGGAAGAGCAGCCACTTACCCATTATCATCACCACAGCAAAGAAACTCAGCGAAGCCCTCATTGTTATTAAAACTAGAAGGTACTTATCGAAGCAACACGTTTCAACGATCGACAAACTTTACAAAGTGGCCGGGTTCAGGCAAAGCAGCTCCTGCCTCAAAAAAGCGTGCGTTAAATGCGAATGGTTGGGCCCCGACGTAGACCGTACAAACCCTCTCTTCTCTCATATGCATTGACGTCTATGTCGAGAGGGTTTCGAACTAAATGTGTACGTGAATAAGCGACGAACGGTGGGATTCCCTTCGGGGCAAAGCGCCAACGCGGTGGGGTTAGCAGCGTGGCAGCAGTCGAACGACCTTGTTCAGATGACGCTATGCAGCGGGTTGTCTTGAAATTAGTCGCGAATCGTGACGTGCCGCAGTTAAGCAATACGAAGGAAGTAAATAATAGGGATAAAAAATAAGCCGCAGTGGTGCGGAGGAGGAGGGGGAGACAGTAGTAAAAATCAAAAGGTTCAACGCGACATGTTACATATGCGCAGATATCTTTTGCCAGCCAAAAAACACCTCACTCAGGATATTGCCACCATGTCCTCGCGATTGCGTCAGTAACCGTGGGCGCATATATAATGAAGCGATACAGAGGATCTCGAGAACGTATTTGCAATCAGCATTTTGAAAGGCTTTTGAAAGGCTGGGTAGCAAACCAGATGTCAATATCTGGTTAACCTCCCGGCCTTTCCTTTCTCACTCTCTCTCTCTCTTGAAAGGCTTTTTTTATGGTGATGTCAAAACGCACCGATGAGTTAATATTACGCGGCAAGACGTGCCTGCTGTACTCCGCGTTCTGTGGCGTTATTGAGGAAATTATGCAACCTATATGTGGCAGCTTTTTGACCGTAATCACTCCGTGATGAGGTCGTGTTGCGTGCGACGCCGTTATTTTGATACTTGATGACGTACGCATATTTGTTTCTGAGAATGTTTACCTGCGCGGTGTGTCACAGCTCAATGAGTTATCTGATGGCTTGGCCTCTTTCGTGTGACTTGAAGACAGCATAAAACGTTTTCGCGCGTGCGTGTGTGTGTGTGTGTGTGTGTGTGTGTGTGTGTGTGTGTGTGTGTGTGTGTGTGTGTGTGTGTGTGTGTGTGTGTGTGTGTGTGTGTGTGTGTGTGTGTGTGTGTGTGTGTGTGTGTGTGTGTGTGTGTGTGTGTTTTAAGGTGAATAAGATACAATGTCCAGGAAATGCAGGCTGCTACACTGTGCTGGTGTGCGGGCTTTCATAGAGAAACCGCTTACGTCTGCTCCTATCAATCCCATCAGTTTCCCCTTCAGTTAGGTGAAGGCCATTTACAATAAAAACCTCGTCAAGCACTCAGTTTTCTAACTGATTCCACAGAGCTTTTATAAAGCTAGCCTTCCAGGAGTAGCTCCTTCGTCCAGGCACCTCCGCTCTCCGACTGTTCGTGTGAACGATAAATATTAAAGATGTTAAAGAAAGTATTATTTAATCCGCGTAAACGTATCTGCACTTGGTATATGTTAACACAAGCAATATCTATTGGTTTACAAGCTTGCCCTGACAACACCAAACATGATTGGTGTCTTGAAGTCAAGTTTGTTTTCTTTTTCTTTCTTCCACGTTAAGCATAATCGCCACCATGGTCCTTAAATCACGCTGCATTCCACATTGTGGTAGAACGTAACTCTGATTATTTGACGTAAGTTCAGCTCTGATAGCGTCAACAGGTAATAGGGGCGCCGACAGCCCGTGTGAGTTAGGTCCAAGTAACATTCCTAGATTAAATGAGGAGCTTCATAATGAAACGCAATTATCGCAAGTACTATCCACTCACTGACACACATGTAGTTTCGGCTGTCTCACGGCATAATTGTATAGCACCACCAGTTCACCTTGAAGCAACAAGCTTTCAGGGATGCCTTGCAGCAGTTGTCATTATAACGTCTTCTTTTCCGTTCTCCTTTCACTCAACGCACGTCTTTTGATCCGTTCCTCACATGAGTGATTGAGATTGACTTTATTAAACATATCGTGAGGAGCCTGAGAAGGGGCCATTCCGACCCTTAATTCAGCCTGGAGGCTCCGCCCAGGATGGCGCTGGCAGCCGAAGGCTTGTAGCGATGTCCCGAGCCCTCTGGACCGCCTGTAGTTGCTGCTTGTATTCATTGCTCTTGAGGGCTTCCTGCCAAGCCTCTTGGGCATTTAGTTGTCCTACGCTGTGGGTAGGGCACATGCTTTGGCCGTTCCTCACATCGTGTTCTTTTTAGCACTGTTTCTCTATATACAAAGGGTTATATTAGAGAACTCTAAACGCCGTATACACATACTTGTCAGTTGACGGAGCGACCTGCTGCCGAGTTCAATGGCGTGGGTTTGAATTCCTCTCACAGCGGCTGCATTTCACTGGAGTCTAAACGCAGAAGCATCCTTGTACTTTGAATTCATTTCATTTCATTTCATTTATTGATACTGTCAGCCCTTTGTGTGCTATTACAGGAGTGGAGTTGACTCATATAAAACATAAATGTGCATAAGAGAAACATAAGAAAAAGAACCTTCACTACTGGAACACATCATTTCAGAGCACATACAACAAATATATCATGATGGCTAAGCATATTGTTTAAACAGAGAAGTTAGTGAAAAATAAGAAAAGAGAGCATTACTGCCGAAATACACATCATATTTTGCGCATAATAAAACACATAATAAATATCACAGCCTAGTTAGAGAGCACGTAATTCACACATATTCACAATCTTAGCGCATGGTGTCAGAGTGCGCTATATGTTTTATTGCTTCAAAAAAGTCAGTAAGTGATTTGATTTTCACAACCGAATCTGGTAGCGAATTCCACTGCTGAATCGCCCTGGGGAAGAAGCTGTACCTGAAACAGTCATTATGAACTTTGGAGAACGGTATGTACATACTGTGTCTGTGTCTTGACGTTTCTTGTGTTTTGATTTCAAAGTACCTGTCGTAGCTTATTTTAACGTGATTATGAACTATTATGAAAAGGAATTTCAGCCTTTCATATTCGGTGCGCTTTTGTAGAGGTAAGAGCTCTGCAAGTTTGCATAATTCAGTTGGTGAATGGAAACGACGGTATTTTATGAAGTATAAACCTAGAACTGAGTTGCTGTATTTTGTCGAGTTTCAAACAGTTAGTTTGGGTATAGGGATCCCGCACTACTTTAGCATATTCGATTATGGGTCTTAGCAAAGCTTTATAAACGAAATTTTTAACTTCGGGAGAGGCCCAGTGGAGGTTACGTCTCAGGCCCCATAACACCTTGTTAGCTTTTGGAACAAAGTTCCTCAACATGAAGACTCCAACGCAAGTCGGGTGTAAATATGAAACCTAGGTATTTATATTGCTTAGCCTGAGCAAGTTCGTGACCGTTAATACTGTACGGATAACTAAGAATGTTCTTTTTTCTAGAAATGGACATAAAAAACAATTTTTGTTGGGTTAAGCTGCATTTGCCACTGATCGCACCAGTTTTTAATTCTCTCTAAGTTAAAATTAAGTTCGGCCTGGTCGCTCGGTGACTGTACATTTTTGTATAGTATGCAATCGTTAGCAAATATTCTTAATTTGGGTAGTAATATTTTTTGGCAGATCGTTTATAAACACCAGGAACAAGAGGGGCCCCAAGACAATACCCTGGGGCACCCCAGATACCACAGGCGATAAACCAGATTGGTGGTGGCCTAGTTGGACATATTGTTCTCGGCGTGCAAGATAGAAACTGAACCACTGGGTGAGGGCAGAATTTTTAAAGGTACTATCGATTTTAAGTAAGAGCTTATTGTGCGACACCTTATCAAAAGCCTTTGCGAAGTCCAAATGTCAGTTTCACCACGGGTATTAACTGTGCTAGATAAGTCGTGTACAAGCTCAATAAGCTGAGTAACGGTGGATAACCCTTTCCTAAAACCATGTATGGCTAAGTCGTTTGTGGCACTAAAGTTTGGGATCAAAAGTTTTTCATCATTGTGCATGACATTGACATACAGATCTAAAGACAATAAAACCATTTTATGATCAGAAAGACCGTCCTCAGTTTCACACATACCAAGAAATGGGAGCAGTGATACAGATAAGAACATCAAATCAAGCACTGAAGAAGCGGTTGGACCCACACGCGTACAAGATGAGACGAGATTAAAGTCTCATATAAGGATAATATTATCGTCATGCTTCAGGTGGGAATCCATAAAGCTTCTTAAGTTATCAAGTGCATTCACTGGGGAGTTCGGAGGTCTATACATAGCACCAATGTATACCGAGCGATTACAGAGCGTAGTTTAATTCCAAAGAGTTTTGACATTAATAGCATGCGGAAGAACACTAATATATTATCTTTAATTAAAATGGCCACACCCCCTCCTTTTGTTTCACGGTCTCTTCTCACGATTTTGTATCCGGGAGGAGTAACCTCGGCATCCAGTACATCTTTCTTCAACCATGTTTCGGTCATTACTAAAAAGTCGGGATCGTGTTCTAATACCACAGCCTCAAGATCCGCCATTTTATTCGTAATACTTCTGACATTATTATTTATTAACTTTAACCGGTTAAAACTACTCTGACACCGTCAGTCGCCATCACGACGCCTTTCAGTTGTTTCGGGAGGTGTCTTACATATGTACCTCATATTAGTGTCTCCATTCCAACCGTACACCACACCATTTATTTTCATTTTGTCAAAAATAAGCTTAACCTTGGCCCCCGTTTTTCTCTTCTCAGCACTAGACTCCCACAGCCTTCTGCGTATCTCAACAACTCGTTTAGAAAAATCTTCGTTTATGTTGACCTCCTTACCACGCAGTTTAAAGCAGTTTCGTAGGATACTAGTCTTATCTCTGAAATATGAAACTCTCAGGATAACGGGCCTATCTTTGCCCCCCTGTTTTGCTCCTCAGCGATGAATTCGTTCAACTGAGTTAACTTTAAGGTTTAGCAGCTTATCAAAAACGTCGACGTTAACCTTCTCACGTAAAACATCTTCAGTTTTATTCATGTCTTCTTTTATCCCTCTGATAATAAGATCATTCCGCCGAGAGCGGTTTTCGAGATCGTCAAGTCGCTTGAGGAGGGCATTCCTGTCGGTGCACGACTTAGTAACGAACTCATCAACGTTTTGACTAACAGTTG